TTTTTTTTCATTCTTCATTTGTTTTAATGAGATGCGCATAATAGTGTGTATATTTGTCTATATCGTAAAAGTACAACGTTTACACAGAAATATTACATTTAAAATATCATGTCACATTAATTCAGTATGTTGAATGCGATTTTTTTTTTGTTGGTTAAAATTCATCAAATGTTAACAAAAGAAAAATGAACATTGCCTGCCTGTTCAGCATTGTCAGTTCATTAGCATGGTGTGTAGGCATTTATTCCCGATTCGCTTCCATCTGCGCGCTACAGTATTCTCGTTTGTTAACCTTTTGAAACAGTCGTTACCCTTTTATGTTTAAGTTTGACCTTTGCGAATAAGTTCTAATTCTCTCTCCATCTGGATGACAACACAAAGCGACAACATTAGCTGTACGCGGCCGGCTAATTCAACGAAAATACTCCTGGTAATCAATGATGACGCAAGGTTTTGCCGTCATCAGGTAGCAGCCGATTAGGCACAGTGCAAATGTGTCATGCCACCACGTATGTATGTGATTTGAGGCGATGTTTCCATTGTTTTAGTGTCAGTTGATGTAATTTTTCATGTGTCCTGGGTGGTGAAAATCCGAATGCAGAAGATTTAACGGATGCAGCATCGGAGTGGTACTGATCACATAAACCACGATCGAGCAATTTGTGTTCGAAGGACGTGATGAATTCAGCATTAGCAAATGTGCCCCGTAGAAATTGTCCAAATCAGCGCTCTCAATGATCCCAGCTTTTTCACGNTTCTTCTTCAGCAGCAGCAGCAGCAGCAGCATTTTTCTGCTGCGTTCATTTTCGTGGCTTCTTCTATGACCATAATTGACTTACTAATGAACCATTCGCGGTTAGTGTGTGTGCACACAGTGCAAATGTTTTTGTGAAAATGATCCCGATGACTCAGCAAAGTCGTCTGACATCACTTATTCCACGACCGCTGCTTGGCTGACTCCATATATTTGGAAAATATTGCGCTTATTGTTAGCATAATCTCAGAGACATTCACTTGCCATTTTTTCACGATTTCGTAACCGACTGCATACCTCTCGAAATGATTGCATATTGTATTCCTGAAGCTTACATCTAATGCAGAAAATCTCATTGATGATTGCTGCTGAATTCCCGACTTTTTAGCTTGACTCAATCATTTTCAGACATCAGTATCTTTTGTTTCCACCTCTCGACAATCACATATGTCCAAGGAAAGCTGCTATTTACAGCAATCGTCGTAATGTTCGATTGAATTGTTCAGGTTTCGCAAAGAAGCCATCGAGCAGCTGAAGCATTTTGAGGAGGAGAGAAACAAGCGGACAATTGCGCATGTGACTAACGTAGATGGAACGACATGAAAACGCATTACTGCACTANNGATATGTCCAAGTTTCTGTCTTCATCACCTAATTGACTTTCAGCCGATACAATGCGCGCTGTGCTGAAATAGCAAATGAAGAGTGCCTACTACATCGAAATGCCCGCTCACCACTGATTCTCCGTATCAACAGAGTTCATTCGAATTACTGCATAGCTAAAGAGCTTGTCAGCAGTTGAGCTGCTGTTTCATCCCGACATGCTGAATGTTTTTCAAACATTCAGTTAGGTTTACTGAGTGAGACAGCGAATGGTATTGGATCTCTCATCCGTTCAAGTGCAACGGATTGTGATGTTTGATAGGTGAACTACTATAAAACATGTTCGTGATGATCAGCTGCCGATGTAGTACTTGTTAACATCCATTATGAATAACAGCAAGTGATGCGATGAAGCAGTGATGCAACGAAAAATATCGGCACAATCTGAATGGAGTCAATTTGTTGAGCCGCAATGCTGCTCTATAGCCGTAATATCAACATGCATTTCAAATTCACAATCGAACGCCACTGTATTTCTCGACATGTGAATTTATAACTTGGAGTCACTAACTTGTCTCATCCAGGATTAATGTGTGTTTGGTATGGGATCGTTCTGCGAGTTACACCAGTGCGATGACTGCCATGATGAAGAGTGTTTTGCTGGCTGTATACCATCATGGGTTGTTTGGGATGGTTTGGGCTTAGTGACTGATGCATGCAGCGCCCAACTACGGCAAACAAAACTGACGAACACTGAACAGCAAGCTAATTCTAGGCGGCGAACATAATAGAATTGATTTTTGCAGTCAATTTTTCAACATCAACAAGTCGCAACAATTCAACATGTCAACAGCGATTTGTCAGAATAATGCATAGCGTGAAATTTACATTGCAAATACTCACCGTGAAATGTTCACGATATTTTTCTTGATTCGTTGCCANCTGGGTTCATTTCAGGGGAAATAACGGATGCTACTCATCATTCATGCAGATCACTTGTAACTTCAGGCACTCGCCAGATGTCACTTCGACGATTCTGACATAATGTTTGATCAGCGGTATTTGTTGTATAAAGGGGTTGTATAAAGGAGTCCGCATTGCCGCTTTCCTGCCATTTTAACGTTTAATTTCAGAATGTTTGAAGGCCAGATTATATTGGTAATAAATGAGCAGTTGAGTGAGTTTGATAAGTCTTTAAGAGAGTCTTTCCATTGGCATTCAAGCGACCTACCTCGAAGATCATAGCCTTGCAAATACTCTAACCGTCGATCAGTTGCCGATTCCATACATTAATTTATCCTCTTGAGTTGGTCTGAACATAGTCTCATCAGGTCGCTTGAAAAGATAGTCTCACCAAGGGATATCCGAAACATAGCACTTCGAGGTCCCGAGCCATATGTCGCTCTCTTGCCTAAATTTTCCACGGATCCTTCGCATCCATCTGGAATGATTAATAGATTATGTTGCGAGAATGGCGATGAAATCTCGTGCTCATAATTAAGCAGGATGCTACGATACTGAACTGAATATGCATTTTTGGAGAGTGGTTTTTGCGCTCAAAATAGAACTTTAGTGACATGCTCCAGTGTTTGTCAGTTGAATGCGTTTTTCATTTTCGAAAGCCACTTCATTATGATCGTAATCCGCTCAAGAAGCGTGCTCTATGCCGTTTCTGTTATCGTTGTCCTTTGTGTTATTTTGCACTCTGACGGATACTCACCGAACAACATACTGTACTAGCAATCGTGCGATGTGCTAAGTAATTTCAAAACGTTCAAACGACACTGTATGCATAGCAGTAGTTTGTATGACCATTGCATCATAAGAACATTCATATGTGCCTAATGCAAATCCGTTAACTTCAACGATTGTTCATGCATTCAGCTTCATTATCATCACAATATAATGGCCAGTTTCACAATTCCCAGCCAGTCCATTAACTTTAATTTCGTCGATTTTTTCTTGACTTGAAAATGACTGAATGCTTCGACAAAATTCATGATTTATAGGTTAACCGACGATTGTTGTTTCGTTGAATTGCACAACGTGCAAAGCTTTCAATTATGGTTTCAATGAAATTGCAAATGGATTCCCAAGTTGCAATGATGAATTAATGAAGATCTTCAAGAAATTCTATTGAGAAGCATGCTAATTGCCCACCAGCACAAACGTTCCATTCTCAACACACGTTCACTCTAATGAAATCGCTAAGTGCATTTGAAGGTCGCTAAAAAGCCTTCTAAGAGCAGTGCAACACTATAAATGAGACTTCAGTAATTACCTCAAAACGCTATCGTTTCCACATTCTCACGACGTCGAGTCTAAATGTCATGCCGTGTAATCGCTACGATTCGCTGAAGTCGCTGAATAATTTTTGACGATTCGAATTTCTAAACAATCGCTCACTTTTCAGGAGTTACTTTCGCCGAACAGCGTGATTTTATAAGCTAAAGCAAATTTATCCGACGGGAGCATCCTCGTCACCCACTAAACATCCTTCTTTCATAATGATGAGGTTTGTGATGGTTTTGAAACCTTTTCACCTACGAATTTCATTTATGATCAGTAATTTTTTGTGATTTGTCTCAAAATGAGAAATGTTTTGATAACATTCGAACATGTGCTGATCAACGAAACAAATATCTCGTCTAGCGTGTAGACATTTTTGCTATAATTCATTTTCACCTAACCATGCGTCAACTTCAGGTTCGATACCTTCAACACATTGGCGGCATTGAATGCTGTAGCCGTAAGCGCGGCCGGTGTCGACAAAATTGGTTTGTTTTCGAAATATCGCATGCACGTTTTCAAATCCTCTTCCATCACATCTAATCCAAATGATCGTTTCGTACTGTTTATCAGATTTTTGCGGTGAATACATCTAGTAGAATTGCTGGATCGGTTACATTGAGTCGCAACCAACCCATACAAAATCGCCACTTAAAACGTAAAAATATCTGTCCAGATTTGATTAGTAGCTGAACTAATCTCATTCAATTCATAAACTTTCATTAACACAATTCAGTCGCAAATGTCATTCCCGCAACCATGTTTGCACTTTCAGTGAATCTGTATGCTCAATAGTTTGTTTTCTTGGGGGGTTACATCGAAAAGTTTTCATTGGTCTGGATCCATTTATGTTGACAGTATGAACACTGAAAAATTCATTTCGTACACCTGTTCGCATAAAAAAAGGATGTTCCTGTAACATTCTGGAGATGGTTTTTTCGTATCTTGTCGACAGCAAGTCTTTAAAAAATATTCTGATTTCATCTGAATATGAGTATAATTCGATTATGCATGTATGTAGAAATGCAGGAAATCGAAGAAAATTGAATTTGCAACATTGGTGTGATTTTGCATTGACGATTGATAGGAAATGAACGAGAAATGTTTGAAGACAACAGAAAACACATCTTGAGGAATAGAGATCTTCGGCGCTTATTTTGCCAGTTGAACTAGATTAGAATGTGAGAACCTTGTCGGGTGATCTTTAGATAGAATGTTGACAATTTTGGTATACGCAAAAGCTTACGAAATAGAGTAAGCAGAAAATCAAAGGTATATTCCGTGTTGCGAAGGACGCTCACGGCACCAGTAATTGAGCCAATTGGTTGATCTTTCTGAAAGGTTCTGACTGAGTTCAATCACCGATGATGTTTTAGAAGTGACCGGTAACAAACGGGTGTACTACTGTCAACGATGTTTGAATCATAATCGTTTGGAGCCACGCAAGAATCATAAATGTGAATGCCTCTACGCAACGTGTACATGCAACAAGTGTATTCTGGTTGAGAAACGGCGAGTGTTGAACACACAATTGCACGAACTTGAGGAGGTTGTGGACAGTGAAATGCAAGCCGAAATCGAAGAACAACTCAACCCGAGTGGAAGTCGAGTGAAAGGAGGTGAGCTCTACCTTGCATCCTCCTAGAATTCCTTGCAGAGTATGGTTATTTGCACACACGTTCAGATAACTGATAGTTGTCAAAAGCACTATAACTAGGCGACCTCCACCATTTGATGGTTTCGAACTGCAGAAAAATTCGTTTCACTCTCGTCAGATATTCGTTAATTTATTACTTCTAACAGCCTATTGTAACTCCTATGATGCATGATACATCTCAGATCTTCATCATACTAATCATCTAGAGCTTGCACATAACGGCGATTGTTTCTTGCCATATAATGACGGAGCAGTTCCTTCGTGTATTTCTGATATCAGATATTCCAGTTTATCGTTTCACACGAAAAAAAGTTTCCTTGCAATATGCCGATTCTTCAGTAATTGCTCAGAATTCGCGACACTCTTAACATCCAATTGCTAGACTATTAGATGAAACTGTAGCGTTATAGAGTATCATTCCCGCAATTGCGTTAGAGTAAATTTTGCTCGCATGCTGATCAAATAATTCATTGAATATCATCAAAGATTCATCGCTATAACTGAGAGTGCACCATGATTGGAGTTGTGAAAGCTTCGAGCAAGCACATCAGCAAACGCCACTAAGTCGTAGAGGAGCACTGAATGTGTGCTCAAACTGATGTTGCTTATCCGTTATGGAATATTTATAAATCGCTTCCGAACAATTTACCAGAGGCACAGCTGCGTATTGATTCAATTGTATTGGATGTGTTTGTTTTGAAGCTAAAAATATATTCATGTTTGATCATGGCAATGACTAAAAATTAGCGCAAGTAAGCTCGGAATGTCGAATGCTTTCAAACTTCGAACTCTGCTTAGTGACTCTTTCATCCGTGTAACATTTAGTTTTAATTGCATCTGTTCGCAAAATATTTAATTCTGTTTCCTTTTTGAAGAAGTATTAACCACATCAAGTTGTTTCAATCATACATTACGCAATCGCTATGGACATTAGCTGAACGAAACGGTGCACTCTTCAGCAGCAGCATTACATCTGAATCAATTTGTTCATTAGCTTATCGTCGTCGTAAATTGCATTGATTCATGCTCATCTAATGCTCGTCTCCTTAGATGAGTGCTGAATGATTTTGTGTTACGACAACCTTTTGGGGACTGATTCTGATTGATCTGAACGTCGGCTGGCATTCAGCATTGTCAGCAATGAGCAGCGTACTAAGCAAGAACTGAATATTTTGTACTTTTGAGTGAAACTCACGAATAAATTAGTATTATACACCGGAGCATGGGTACATTATTAGTTCATTCAGCAGCCACAAGCAGCATTTATTTCGAGCCACTCGATTGACTTTCTCATTTCAAACGCATTCATTAGAGTGTTATTGAATTACGCCGCACCGCATGCAACAAGTGGGATGAGTAAGTGGATAGACGACTACAAATAACATTTCTGAAACTGTTCTCGTTATGTACAACCGACTAATGTGCTTGTTGGTTTCGATGCAGTTGAACATGAAAGCATTGCAAGACTTCATGTGAACGTTAGCACTTTCCTTGCTGATTCTTTGACTGATTCAGAAACGTTTCGCTACGGCTATCTACCATTGTAAAATGAACGATAATAATGAAAGCAGAATTTCGAAACGCCAAACTACTGTGTGCGCTGCAATGAAGCGTTGATGCGAATGTTTTGTTAAAGTAAAGCTCCACAATCACGCAAGAGCACGTGCAAAGAAGAGCACGTGCAAAGGACACATACATTTTTTAGCACTTATGAATTTCCATGCAAAATTATTTTAGTCGTTTTTTTGGGAAATGCGTGTGAGAAGTGAATTAAGAATGTTCGAATGATTAGGTTAGCTTGCAAAAAGCAGCATTCTTAATTTTCCATTTTAACATGTTTCGCTGTCCTCTATATCTGTTTGGTGCTGACGATATTTTGTCCTTTGAGTGCTTGGTTTCTTATCGAAAATTGCAATCGCTGTGGAGGTTGCATGTTTGGTAAAATTACGGTGGAGCTGGGTGATAAAAAATAATCAACATAGTGATTATTTTTTAGGGCTAGTAAGATGATGCATTTGAAGAGTTTCGATTATGTCCGTTTCCTAACAAATCTATTAAATCCCGACTAAGTTGATCTAGGAGATTATGCGTTCGCTGTCCAATTCAGTTGTTGTCTCAGCCAGCAATCATCACTCAAAACGAACATACTCAAGTAGATGAGCCGTGTGCAAATTTCTGCAAATGAATGCACGCACGATTTTGCATGGCGTAGAAGTTTATGCGAGAAAATCTCTCTTTCTGGGTTTATATCCATCAATGTTTCATGAGATTCGGTTTGCGATTGCCGACTTCGTTTGAATCCGGATGATTTGATAGATAATTTACGAGGACAACTTGTGATTTAGCTGTGCTGTGACTTGCCCACAGAAATTGCATGAAAGGCATT